AGACCATTGCCCCAAGCGGCCCTGCAACCCCATAGACTTGAACAGCCGGGCCAACGTAGAATGCCTCGTCAGGACCCGGATCTCGCGTCCAACTAGAAAATTGTAATAGAGATCGAAGATCCTCAGCAGCGCCAACACCTCTTTCTCCGTCACATTGTAGTTCAACTCATTCGTCTTCAAGGTACGACTGGCGAACGCGACTGGATGGTAGATCCCGTCGTGTTCTTGCGTCAACGAAGCGGATATCGCCCAATCGCTGGCATACACGATAATCACCGGCGTTCTCGTCTCGTCGAAATGGCGGAGGACTGGGGTCGTCGCGATCTTGGTTTTCAGGGTGGTGAAGGCCCTATGCGCCCTGATCCACCTCTCGTCTACTGATCTCGTCAACTTCAGTTCCGTTGGGTCGTGATCTCGAGGGATCGGGTCATTCCGGTCCAAGATCTCCCTCAGATCTGATCGTTTCCCCAGTTCTGCAAACTCCACTTCACGTAATTCGTAGACTACCACAACATAGATTGCATATTCTTCGATGAACCGGCTGTAGTAATTTAGACTGCCCCGGAACGACTGCATAGATCGTAGAGATCCGGGGAACGGCAGATCGGTCAACGATTTCAGGTCTTTCGGGCTCGCTTCCAAACCTCCGATCGACACTCGATGTCCCAGATATCCTACCTTATCCATGCCCCAAAAACTCTTGGCTACACTGATCGACAAATTCCACTTATCACAAGCCTCCAACAGATCTTCCACTCTTCGGCACATTTGGTCCCACGATTCCGCTGCGATCATGATGTCGTCGATGTACGATCTCCGACCCAACACCGACTCGCGATCAGGATCGTCCGCGATCCCGGTCAGGAACACATCCGTTGTGGCCCCAGTGTCGCCCGATCGCGAGATCTTCAAAACTCCATACAGCGCGTTGTCTACGAGGCGCTGATAGATCTGTGGGGCATTCTTAAGACCAAAAGGCATGCGGCTCCATTCGAATAGTCCAAACGGAGTAATGAATGCTGAGATCTCGCGAGCCCGATCCGTCATGGGCACGACCCAAAACCCGCTGGGCATGTCCAACGAGCAGTACCATAATGCTTTGTCCAGATCCTCTAGTAGGTCGCTGATCAGGGGCAGAGGGTAGACCATCAGCCTCGTGAGGCTGTTTACCAGCTTGCAATCGATGCACAATCTGATATCCACACCGCTACTCTTCTGAACGATCACGATCGGCGAGGCCCATGGTGATGTCGAGGGTCGGATGATCTCGGCTGCCAGGAGACCCTTGATCAAGCCTGCGACTTTTTCGCGAAATCGCGTGGGCACTTTCCGGGTTCGCAGTGCGATCGGTCTCGCATTTCCAACATCGATATCGCACACGACGCCCTTGGCCGCCGGGGGTAAGGCGTTCCCTTTTCCGATCAGTAGGTGTCGTTTCTTCCAGATTATTTGCCGGAGTCTCTCTATCTCTTCCGGTGTGGCCGATCCCGAGTCTCCCACCTGCAGATCCTCGATGCTGACCTCCGCGGTCGTCGAGATCGGGATCTCGGGGAGGACGGCGAAGTTTCCTTCCAGGTCTTCCGCTGAGAGATCGCCGCTGTCATGGTAGTATGTCTCCTCCTCGTCTTCGGGCTCCTGTGAGGTGGTCACTGTGGGTCCTTCTGCCGGCAGATCTCGTT